CCATTTGGATTTTCAAATGAAGGACACGGTCAAATTCAAAACCAACTCCAAACCCTTCATACGTTAGTACGTTTTCCAAATCGAGTTTTGAAAGATATTAAGTTTCAGTGGTGTGCAAAAGTCGATGGATGACTGTATTGCAGATAAGTCGAATTCGTCATCTTGCCCTGCTCGGATTGGCCTAAACTTGTGTGGCTAATCGAAGCACATTGCGATCCATACGAGCATATTTTTTATTCTTTTTATTTGCAAAACTGCCAACGTGAGGTCGATGGAAACAACTCATACAAAATCCAAGTCAAATCTGACTGATGATCAGAGAGGTGCGCTATATGAAGAGCTACTCCTGGTTAGTGTAAACGGAAGCTGTCACGTGCGGCCATTGCATCAGTTGCAACCACCTTTGGTGTGCTCTCGTCGACTGTGTCAACGATCTGGCAACGCGGCCGAAAATCGACACTACCTGGCCGCCGCACCAATGTGAAGTCACGAATTGCCAACGCTGGACGCCCGAAAACCTACACTATGTCTGAGATCGAGCAAATCAAAGTGACACCTTTAACCCAACGACTGACGTACCGTGCATTGGCAGCAGCAATTGGCGTTTCCACGTGGACGATCTGGAACTTCATTCAAAACAAGTGGGTCACACAACGGTCCGACTGGACCAAGCCCAGGCTGACACCGGAGCACAAGCAACGACGCTTGAACTTCTGCACAATGATCATGCATGACTACAGTAAGCATAACGACCATGAGTTGTCAATGAGTTGTACTGTACAATGTCGTGCACATAGATGAAAAATGGTTTTAAATTACCAAGCTGCGCCGGCACTTCTACCTTTGGCATGACGAAGAGAACCCGCCACGGCGCGTCCAATCGAAGAGCCGCATCACAAAAGTGATGTTCCTCGTTGCCGTTTCTCGGCCGAGAGGCTGCTGGAACTTTGTGTCACGTTGTCCAGCCCAACGAACCAGCGTGAAACGACCTGCTGGCACAATCGTCGCCACAACAATGAACGTCACCAAGCCTGTGTACCGATCTTTCCTAGTCGACAATGTTATTCCAGCGAACAAGACTGTGGCGTTGGCTTACCGTTGACAACGATGATGTCATTGTCTATCCGCAACAGGACAATGCTCGTGTCCACGTTTTTGCCGATGGCCCTGCAGTGTATCTGGCTGCTCAGAACCCATCGTTTACAATCTAAATCCGATACCAACCTGCACAAAGCCCAGATCTAAATGTGTTAGATTTGAACTTTTCAACTCAATTCAAGCGTTGCAACGGACCATGGTATGCCAGACGATTGATGACCTGGTGCATGCTGTGGAGAAGTCCTACCACGACTTGTCTTCGAAAATGTTGGGAAAGACGTTCGGTACCCTGCAGCGCGTCGTGCAAGCCGTCGTCGAAGCGAATGGTAACAATGGTTACAAGATCCCTCGAAGTAAAGACAAAGATGACGACATGGCTAACTTGGAGCAGTTGGACCGGCGAATTGAAGAGAGCCGTCTGGACGAATTGAGTGAGCTTGTCAACATCATTGCGGTTTAATCTTTTTAAATACAGATTCTTCATACTTTTATTTTGTATGGCCTTGAATATTCGTCTACAATTATTGCCAAACTGAGTGGTACGTTATCAATTTTCTAACTGTCAAAAGCACATTCAAATTGGTACAAGTAGGTGCGGGGAATTGGCCAATCAATAGACAACGTTGCGACGCGAATCATGACAAATTGGTCAACCGCGTATCATCCCAATGGATCCAAATCTACTGGCATCGAAATGGGCCGAATTTTGGCCTGGAATCACGAGAAGATATCCAATCGTGAGATTGGACCTCGACCCAAACTACCTGTCGTGCGTTCAAACCTGAAGTCTGGGGTACCGTGAGTCTGTGCGGGAAGTCAGATATCGCCTTCGTCAAATGACGACAACTCTCGGAGAAATATTGCAAGACGCTGGAAACGTATCCGTTCCCATATTTCGAAGAAGAGCCTGCAAGAACATCTCGAAGACGAGCTTGCTGTGTTACAAAAACACAACGCCTCTTTCCACGCTTCGAAGGAGACGAAGAAGTTCTCGGGCGTCCAACAATATGACAATATGCCTGATTTGAAGCGGCAAATTACTTTGTCGTGGAGGATGATAGATACTGACTCCTTGAAGACGCTTGTGGACGGCATGCCTACGCGTTTAGCTCAATTTGCATTGAAAAATGGCGGTAGTGTCGACTATTTGTGCAGTGCGCAATGATACCCGTTGTATATTTCGCTATTTCTAGTAGCATTACCATATAGGATAGGTTTAGATATTTTTGCACTTTCACCACACTTCAAATTCTCTTAGGACTTAGGGCCACATAGGGCCACATAATATACAGGCACGACAATTATCCGACACATTCTCCATCCACCATTGGACGACCGACACGAGATCATGATTTGATTTGCCAACCGAAATTTTCGCAAAAAAAATATCATTGGACGAGGGCATTGTCGTTGGCACAACATGTAGCGAACATGTAACATGTGTGCGATCTTGTTGGTTAAAAATATCTAGCCAAGCGGTTTCGTAAGAAAACTGCCAACCGCAGCATTATAATAAGATGAAAGGAGTACCGACGAAACAAACCATTCAAGACTCGTTCCGCGTTGTGCGTCGACACGCAGGACGCATTCGACGTACCAACGCCAAATCGCTGAGTACTGTCACACAGTCAAACATGGGCTTGATCCAGCATCTGCCACCACGGACGTCTGCACCGACATTTTTTACCACTTGTACACGCTTGGGCGCAAAGCACGTACCATCGATTTCGCAAAGACAGCACTGGTTGCGTTTCTTAAGCAACACAACATCGAGCCCAATCCAGCATAATCAACACTCACGAAGCAAAATGTCGTAGGCCTACAGAAGTACAACCGAAGAATAACGTTGACGAAGAGAAGAAGGCTCACCCACTGTCGATGCATGAACTCTCGACGGTGATGAACGGCTTTACCACCATGAATCCCTTCGTCGGGGCTTTGTCTCGGTTTTTGTTTTCCTGTTGCTACCTCGGGTGTTTCCGCATGGGGGAAATGCTGGCCCTGAAATGGAACGACGTGGCCTTTGGAAAGTCGCCGAGTGGCTCGTTCGTGTCTATTCGGCTACGGTGGCACAAAAAGGCAAGTGTGGAAAAGGAATGCCAAGTTTACCACATACTCAACGAGGACTCATATCCGTGCTTGCGTGTGTATGGCTTCTACAACGACTACATCGAGAAGATTGAACACGCCATGATGCAGACGTCGCGCGATGCCTATGTGTTCCCCCATTATGTACTGCTGCAGAACGGAAGTGTGAAAGTGGACTGGTGCAAGGCAATCGAGCAGAACCATGTACGTCGCCAGCTGCATGACGTTGTTGAAGCATCGCCAGGACTTCCCATTGGAATTTCACTGCACAGTATGCGGCGTGGTGGGGCCTTTTATCGTGTGTTCGAATCGCCGGAGCGGAGATTAAACTTTTGAGAGCTAATGGCGTGGTGCCGCTGGGGTGACACGAAAACTTGCTGTGAGTATCTTGTGACCAAGACCATGAGTGACGCCATGGTCTTTCGTTTGTTGCTTGAAAAACGTGGCGTATCAACGACTGGCAACCAAACTGATGGCGGACACGTTTCGGTTGAGAGCATCGCTGCGTTGGTCGTGCAGCATCTGCGCCATGAGAGTTCTTGTCAACGAAAGACGACGACACCCAAATGGCCATGCTTGGTCACACGCCTTCCCAGCGGCAAACGACGATTCAAGAGTTTGCCGTCCCTAAGAACATTTCAACTCCTCGCTCTGGCAGAGGCATGGGACCAATGGTTCTATGTCGATCCCAAGAGGGGGGTGTTTTGTGCTCTGAAGGATTATTCGAAACACATGATCAAGACTGACAGACGAAAGTACTCTGAGCGTTTGACACTAGCATTCAACAAGTACATCAGCTTCGCACAGTTTGAGAGTGAGTATGCTGGCCATGTCAGGACGTATTCTAGCTTACTGCATGAAGTTCGAAAGCGGAAACGTGAAAATAAATTGTAATACTGTAATTGCAATGAGCGGCACCCTTTTTTTGCGGGGTTCCATGCCCAATAGGATAACTTGGCGGACCATTTTAAGTAATGTAGAGGGGGTATCCCCTCTACACCACTTCCCGGCCACCTTGACATTTAGTTCCAGCCAATGTAAAATACGAAACGTACCGAACATAAAAATCACACGTTTTCGAAGGAAACAAACAATTTCACATCTCAACGTGAAATTTTCACATTCAATATGAATTACTGGCCATAAGTCATGTCCTCCAGTCGAATTGCCTTGTCTACATTGTTCTGGCAGAACAAAGCCTCTCGTATCACCAGCGACTGGGTGATACAAGGCAACGATTCGCGAGCTGCGTCCTCGAGCAAGACCATCTGGCGTTCAAGAAACGAACTGTACTCACCGCGGTCAAACATGTCGGCAGTATGATGCGCCAGGTAAGCCTTGATTCGCGCCATGAAAACACTGAAGCAGTTTTCAATCAAATTGAGCGTAGGGGAGTACGGCCCGAGACGAAGGAGCGTCAAGTCGTCGTGTTGGACAACACGCTTCTCAGTTTGCGAGTGAGCTGGCGCGTTGTCCAACACGATGACAATACGCTTGTCGACGAAGCCAGCTTGCCATGCGTCGCTGGCCTTGACGACTTGGTAGATGGACTCGACGAAGGCCACGTTTTGATCCATCTTGATACTGCCGCGCTCCATACGGTACGTGACAAGGCCAATTTCAGTCGACACAGCACACTGATCTTGAAGGTTTAGCCCTTTCGACGGCGGCAGAACGATTGTCGCACGTGTCCCTTTGATGGAGCGCCCACGACCGCGCTTGCAGTAGAGCTTGAAGTTGGTTTCATCGTAGTACACGATAAAGTCGCCGTCTTCTTGATGTTGCTTGAGTTGAAGAGCGAACTGACGCCGCTTTTTCTTGTTGATATCGTTGTTGCAAGTAGCGGGCTCGATGCGCACTTGCTTGATGGTGAATAGCATGCCGAGGAGGTGACGGCTGATTGTCTGAATCGACAGCGACTACCCAGCAAAATCGGCGGCAACAAAAGACTTGATTTCGCTCAGAGTGTCATGGCAGTTAGTGTTCAAATAGCGCTCGAACGCAGCTCTTACTTCGGGAGTTACCTTGGCTTGAGTTGGCCGTAAGCCGCCACGCGGCTTCGACGACGTCCGTCCTGTATCGGTCACACGCCAAGCCGTGGCCTTGGATACACCATTGTGCCTGGCAACAAGCTTCCAATCGTCGCCGCGTAGGTAGGCGTCAAGCACACGTTGCTTTTCCTCAGGGGTGGAACCCTTGCGCTGGGTTTCGTTGGGCATCCAAGACAGATCGAAATGAAAAGTGTGCTCTTATCGATGTTTGTCATTAACCTTCGCACCTACATTTCCCGCTTCCGTGGTTCACTTTGATTGGAACATATTTCATATTGGATTGAGCATTTGCATATCACTCATCACTCAACTTGTCATATTTTATATCCATTCGGAGGTTTAACATTGGATGGAAGAAGGTTCCAAGTTGGCCGGGAAGTGGTGTACTTCTTGGGCGATATTAGTGGTTGCAATTTCTTTTTATTGGCCAATCAGATAGTTGTCGGATGGATTTGTCGCAGGAGCCCTTTAATCTATCTATACATGAAATATTTGGCCATTTCAAAACAAAAACAAAGTTCTATGATGAAAATTCGAGCAAACCGAAATCACCCCAAATATGTATAGATAGAATGGCAAATGCGACAAATCAAACCGACAATCGATTGATTGGCTGAAATACACGATATCAATTGACTTGGTTACAGTTTGTTTTCACGCTTCCTCTTTCGCACCTCCTGCAGCAAACCAGAGTACGTTGCCGCATGCCCAGTGTACTCCGTTTCGAATTGAGCGAAGGTCTGATACTTGACAAATGCTGCTGCCAAGGTCTGACGCTCTGAGTACTTCCGTCTGTCAACCCTGATCATCTCTTTGGTATAGTCCTTGAGAGCACAAAAGAGGCCACGCTTCGGGTCCGCCGAGAACCACTGCTCCCACGCCTCTTTCCCCGAACGAGCAGTTGGAATTGATCGAGGTAAGGCAAACTCTTGCAGCGTTGTCTGTCTTGTGCTGGTAGCTTGGGGGACTCGGACAGCCTGGGGCACTTGAGCCAACGTGTCGCCACCGCGAAGCAGCTTCACAACCGCCTCTGCGATGCCGTCGACAGAGAGGGGTCCACTTGCATTCTCAACTTGCACGCCGCTTCCAGCAGAGGTGCGTCTTTCCAGCAACATTCGTGGATCGATTGCATCACTGATGCTCTTCGTGATAAGGTATTCACAGCAGGTCTTGGCGTCGCCCCATCGACACCATGCCATAATCTCGCGGAAGTTAAATCGACGCTCTGGGGACTCAAACACACGATAAAAGCAACCACCACGACGCATACTGTGTAGAGTTATTCCAATTGGTAAACTTGGTGTTGCCTCAATAATTTCATGCAATTGTCGTCGAACCTGAATTTGTTCAATACACTTAAACCAATTCACT